GCTCAAATACAAGTATTATATCTTCAATTTGGACCTGCTCCGGATACATGCAACATGAATTCATGATCATGGATCAATTTTCTATGCTCAAAGACTGGACTATTTATTATTCCCCGTAAGGGTTATCAACCGAATACTTGCGCCAGTCGGGATTCAATTATTATATTTATTTTGGAGTATCCTATAAGGGATAATCATTCAGATCAGAAGCTATTCATATGAGCTACACTTGGTCTATATTACCCGGAAGATTTATTACTCGGGAGCATGTTACATGCGTCATCCTTTAAAGGGTGTCGAAGGCATATTTTTTGGCCTAGGCCTAATATGTCTGCAGCCCATATTTTCAGGTGTGGCCTGTCACGTTCTTTTAGGGACTTAGGCACTTTTTGCTTAGGCCAAAGTGCGCGTGATCAAGTGCCCAATACCTTAAAATCCTTTTATACCGCAGTTACTCAACTTTTTAGGAGTTGGTACAATGCATCTTAAAAGGTGTCAAACAGTAAAGCTTTATATAGCTGCCCCGCTGACTTTTTAATATAGTCATGGTGCTGTTTGGGTTTTTAAGCAATTGATTGGATACAATATCGTTGCTTTTTGCCACGTAAGTGTGCATTTTTATTGACCAATATTATGGCTTAGGCTGATTATATATTGTGGTCATTTTTCAGGCGGTTGGTAAATCCTTTATGAGTTTATTTACTCGGATTTTATACCACATATGCCATATATTTCCAGGTGTGGTGGAACCATGTGTCTTCTAGGGACTTAAGCACATCTGTTAAAGCAGTGTGCGCATGGCGTATGCCCAATACTTTGGAAATTTCTTTATTCACAACATACAAGCTTTTTTATAGTTGTTTTGCTATGTGAATTTTCAATAATGTAGCCAACTTTAGGTTACACTCATCATATTTTACAAAGCAGTCGGTATATCACTCGGATCATGTTATTTGGAGGATTCACACCGCATATGCTATATATTGATATCAAGTCACTTGGTTGATTACGATTATCAAAACCACTCGGTTGGTTGGATTATTTATTCCTTGGCTATATGCTTGGTTTGTTCAATTAACCACATTGTCAGGGGCTACACCTATTAGGTGCATCTAGTCGGTGCACCTGACTTTATTTTCCAGCCCTCCACAGTCTTCAGATTTGGTAAAAGTACTCGGGAGACCATGATAAAGATGATTGAAGCACTCGGCTTTGGAGTAATCTGGTTCGAGAGAAGATTATCTTTTCGACTGCGAAGGTCTCAGGGGCTACTGTGGATATTATGGGTACCCCATACCCATACGGCATGGTTATCCGACTAGTCATAGGGGATAACTTATATATATGGAATATGTAACAGATCATGACTTGGGTATTACGTTTCCTTATATATTACGGAACAGCCTAAAGTCCTGGTTTGATAATATTGTAAAGTAGATTTAGGAAACCGATACCGTATTGGTTAAGGTTTCTATCTTGTAATCCTGCCCCCCACCCTATATAAGGTGGGCAGGAGGCCCTCTAGGGGGCATGAGACAACCTGATCGTCAGATCTATACTACACTCGGCGGATTCAAATCCCCAAACAGGAGTAGGGTATTACCTCTCATTGAGAGGGCCTGAACCTGTCTAAATCCTTTGTCTCTGCATCCATCCACTTTTAGGTCTCGTGCGCTACCCCGTTTTATTATTGCCGAAATCATGTTTCGACAGATGGAGTTATTGGGATGATATAAAAAAAATATAGTAATAGATATTATACTATTGCCACAGTTTTAACTTTCTTGGTAACTCCGTACGTACTACAATCTATGTCCACAATGTTGTTTTGTTGTTTTCATCACAATACTTTTTTTGGTAATAACGCAATACTTTGACACAATACATGATTCCATGAAAGAGTCGCTAAATGACCAGATTATTATAGAAATTGTAATTGTAGGCTATATATTGGGTTTCAACCAAAGAAGACAAGATGGCCGGGGGAAGAGAAATGCGTGTCAAGTGTTGTGTAATAATCTAATCTCTTGGATTCACTAACGAAACCAAGTAGTATGTGTGGTAACTTCAGTCTTCCATTCTAAAGGAGTAATAAGGGTGTTCTACAAATATCTTGTCGAAAGGGAACTAGCGAACACTGGTTCATATCTATGATTGTCTCCCTCATTCCAACTGATGAGCTCAATCAATATTCCCCCTTAAAAAAGAAAAGCTCCGAATAATGTAGATGCCCTCTTTATGCCCCTCCTTCCCATGTCTTACTCGCAAGCCACAACTCCCGTAAGATCTGGGGTATACTCTTCCACCTGTTTGCGGTTTGAAATTGTAATTCATTTTGGAAGCTTAAGATGTTGGGAAAAGTTTTGTAGATTTCTATTACCTGCTCTCAAGTTTTGAAATAGAAAATTTTGTGATTTGAGTAAAAACTTTAAGGTCATGAGTAGAATTATTGTGATTTGAGTTGACATTGTCAACTTAACATTAGAAAATTCTAAACTTTTGAGTTGATATTTTTTTAAATTGGCAGAAGTTGATTTGAATGTACAATGTTTGAGTATGAAGTTTTGAGTCTTAGTTGGAAGTTTCATATTTTGAATAGAAAATCATGCAACAACAAAATACAAGTTAAAAACATGAAGCATCCACTAATACAGAAAACATATGTGCAAGGAAGTTCAAAACCTATTTACACATGCGTTTTTTTAACCGTATGCAACTTACGGCCCATAGAAATCGAGGATTTACACATGCGGATTCCACAACAAACTAATTTTCACGGAAGGTTGTGGAATGAATTAATATCCAGTTTTTCATTTTTGTGGACGAATAAAAACTGAAATAAATATTTCATATTTTTAGGCATCTATAAACACTTGCAAGTCGTGCGATATTACGTGTGCGTGTGGTATAGAGGATTCGAACACTTGACCTCACTCTACATATATCCTTCTTACCATCTCACCTATGACACTCAGTGATTGTGGGGTGAATGTTATTCTTTTGACTTCTCTAAAACTTGTAACACAGTCTAAGTGACATCAAATGAAAAAGTCATCAACTACAAATTTGTGTAGATCTCATCGAGCTCAATACTTTGGTAAAGAGAATCTCTATCCAAGCTCACTAAAAAACTCAAACATTCAAAAAAAATTTCAAATAATATAAATGAGAGTTTGTAACAAATATTTAGGCTCATAAATGATCTTAGATGAAAAAACATACTCAATTATAAATTGTAGATCTCGTCGACAGCTATAATTTCATATAAAGTTTATCACCATCCGACTTTATATAAAATATCTACTCCCTAGGTTGTTATATATCCGACAAAAAATTTAAACCCTAAAAAGTTGTTTTATTTAAGAACGGAGGAATGTGATTTTTTTTAAATTTTATTAGTGCTCATATTTTCACAAATGGCAGTTTTATTAACAGAAATGCCCACAAAAATCAAACTTTACATGTTTCCCTTATCAGAACTGGCCGTAAATTCGCCCCTTTTTTATTGGCAGTTTTTCTTAAGAAACCGCCCGCAAAAATAGGCCTAATTTGGTAGGCAGTTTTCCTAAGAACTCATCTGTAAAAATAAATTTTCGCAGGTGGTTTATGACCCTTAGTTGGCCTTGCTTCTATAGTGAGTTTTCCTTTTGCACCACATGTGAAAAAGCAAGTCAAGGGCCTACAAAAAACATTTTTTATAGTGCACTGAGTAGGAAGTTTCGATGATCTGAGTTGAAACTGTAACATATTGAATTTTTGAGATTTTAGATTGAGAATTCTAAAATCCTATTGGAATATATTAACTCGGATCAGCTCGCATTTAGGTGCGAAATGAAGTGTCTATTTGTGCACTAGGATTTCAGGAAAAACAAAACGTGTGGAGCGGGAAGAATAAAGCACGTCAATGCGGTCACCCATTAGCTTATCTAAAAGAATAAAGGTTCGGGGGATACACACTACACATAGAATTCAGATGAATTGCAGTCACATGCATATTCATTTACCACTACATGAAGGTTCCACTACACCAGGATATATTGCAAATGGTATTTCACTGTCAATCAAACGCCACTAGTTCTTCCAAGAAACGAAAATCAAGCACCAAAATTACCATAACCTTGTATACAAGTCAGTCAAACACTACTCCAAAAAGCAATATACACGATTGTTTTTTTCCACTCCAGAGCACCCAAACATGGCAGTGGCAAATTCCATTTGGAGATTCAGATGCATATGGACGGAGATGGCCAATAGCATATCTCCAGTAACGTCCGCTCAGTGGTGGCCGTGAATCCCCTTTGCAGTTCTTTTGAATAAAACAGTTCAATGCAAATGGGTTGACACATATATGATCAAGGTGAGCACTTTCTGTAACAACCAGGTGAGCAATACATTTGACAATTAAAAGGATATTTTTATTTATGGCATACTATGTCAAATTTTGTTTTATCCCTAGAAGAAAACGCTTAATACACACTCAAAATGAAAGTAGAACAAACAACAATATTACCATTGTTGTTTGCTTCTAAGCTCTTGCTCAGTTCACCGGATGGGTATTATTCTCGCCATTTGCACCTCAACTCCTCAAGCTTAGAAAGTAATTTTAGATTTGTGACAGGTATGATCAGACCTTCTCTTTGAAACAAGTCTTAATGACGTAAACAGGCAACATTGAACTGGTCAAAATTCATGAGACAAATTATAAACACCTCTGTTAGGGAGTACATATTTTTAGATAATGGCATGATCGCCAAAGTAGATTTAACTACTACTCCCTCTGTCCCAAATATAAGTATTTTTAGCATAGTGACAAGTCAAATATTTTTAACTTTGACTATTAATAGCAAAAAAAATAAAAAAGATCAATCATGTAAAATTGATTTTTTTAGACTTATCATTAAACAAACTATTATAATATGCAACTTTTTTTATTTAAAACATTTTATACTTTTATAGATATTGTTGGTCAAAGTAGTATCTCAAAAACCGTGTCAGAGTCCAAAAATACTTATATTTTGGGACGGAGGGAGTAATTTCTATGTAAGTATGTATTACTCCGTGGAAGTTATCTTTTACACAAATGTGCACATCATTTTCATGTTCCAAATCTTCTTTTTATAATATAAGTACTTAAGCTTTGAAAACTTTGACACAATGTTATAATGTATTCTCAAAACTAAATATGTTCTCTAAACAGGACAGAGCACATGATTTACAAACTTCACAAGTAGACGTACCTGTGTTTATCCGTGTGTGCCTGTGCCATAGAGTTGCAAACGGATCAACCCAGCCAATCTCCAACATGTCCTCCTCCATGAGAGTTGCTCTCCTAGCCATGCTACCCATCCTCCTCGTGGATGCCCAATCCATGGCTGCGCCAATTCAGTGCCTTCCAGGCCAGGCCGCGGCGCTGCTCCAGCTGAAGCGCTCCTTCGATGCCACCGTCAGCGACTACTTCGCCGCCTTCCGGTCATGGGTCGCCGGCACAGACTGCTGCCACTGGGACGGCGTCCGCTGTGGCGGCGACGATGGCCGTGCGATCACCTTCCTCGACTTGCGTGGCCATCAACTGCAAGCTGACGTTCTTGACACCGCACTGTTCAGCCTGACCTCGCTGGAGTACCTTGACATCTCCTCCAACGATTTCAGTGCATCCAAGCTCCCAGCCACCGGCTTCGAGCTGCTCGCCGAGCTCACCCACCTTGACATCTCCGACGACAATTTCGCCGGCCAGGTACCCGCCGGTATCGGCCACCTCACGAATCTGGTTTACCTTGATCTTTCTACCAGCTTCCTTGATGAAGAGCTAGATGAAGAGAACAGTGTATTGTACTACACCTCATACTCACTTTCGCAGCTCTCAGAGCCAAGCTTGGACACCTTGCTGGCAAACCTCACCAACCTGCAGGACCTTCGTCTGGGCATGGTGGACATGTCCAGCAATGGAGCACGGTGGTGCGACGCCATTGCCCGGTTTTCCCCAAAGCTTCAGATCATTAGCATGCCTTATTGCTCACTTTCTGGTCCGATTTGTCGGTCCTTCTCTGCCTTGAAATCACTTGTTGTGATAGAGCTGCACTACAATTATTTGTCCGGTCCGATTCCCGAATTCTTGGCCCATCTGTCCAACCTTAGTGGTCTTCAGCTTTCAAACAACAACTTTGAAGGATGGTTCCCTCCAATCGTCTTCCAGCACAAGAAATTAAGAGGCATTGATCTCAGTAAGAATTTTGGGATCTCTGGAAATCTGCCTAATTTTTCTGCAGATAGTAACTTACAGAGTATATCTGTGAGCAACACCAACTTCTCCGGCACAATTCCAAGTTCTATCATCAATCTCAAATCTCTGAAGGAGTTGGCACTTGGAGCTAGTGGTTTCTCCGGAGTACTGCCTTCTTCCATTGGTAAGCTGAAATCTTTAGATTTACTAGAGGTGTCTGGGTTACAGCTATTAGGATCCATCCCATCATGGATCTCAAATCTGACTTCTCTCAATGTTCTCAAGTTCTTCCATTGTGGCTTGTCTGGACCCGTACCATCTTCCATAGTGTACTTAACAAAATTGACAGATTTGGCACTGTACAATTGTCACTTTTCAGGAGAGATAGCTACACTGGTCTCAAATTTAACTCAATTAGAAACCCTCCTGCTCCATTCAAACAATTTTGTCGGCACCGTGGAGCTAGCTTCATTCTCGAAACTGCAAAATATGTCCGTCCTTAATCTCTCAAACAATAAATTAGTTGTGATCGATGGAGAAAATAGTTCTTCGGCAGCATCCTACTCCAGTATTAGTTTCTTACGTCTATCATCTTGCAGCATATCTAGCTTCCCTACCATCTTGAGGCATCTACCTGAGATTACTAGTCTTGACCTTTCATATAACCAGATCAGAGGTGCAATACCTCAATGGGTATGGAAGACCTCAGGCTATTTTTCCTTGTTGAACCTATCACATAATAAGTTTACGAGTACTGGATCTGACCCTTTACTTCCACTTAACATTGAATTCTTCGACCTCAGTTTCAACAAAATTGAAGGGGTAATACCTATACCCCAAAAAGGAAGTATCACGCTTGATTACTCCAATAACCAGTTCTCATCTATGCCTCTCAATTTCTCTACTTACCTGAAAAAAACTATTATTTTCAAAGCCTCCAAAAATAACCTTTCTGGAAACATTCCACCATTGATCTGTGACGGGATTAAGAGTTTACAACTCATTGATCTCTCTAACAACTATTTGACTGGCATAATACCATCATGTCTGATGGAGGATGCAAGTGCACTACAGGTACTAAGTCTAAAAGAAAATAATCTTACCGGCGAATTACCTGATAATATCAAGGAAGGCTGTGCATTAAGTGCATTAGATTTCAGCGGCAATTTGATTCAAGGAAAGTTGCCGAGATCTTTGGTTGCTTGCAGGAATCTGGAGATCCTTGACATTGGAAACAATCAAATAAGTGACTCTTTCCCATGTTGGATGAGTAAACTTCCTCAACTTCAAGTCCTGGTCCTCAAATCTAACAGGTTCATTGGGCAGATGGATATTTCTTATACTGGAGATGCTAACAACTGTCAATTTACAAAGTTGCGGATTGCAGACATAGCCTCAAACAACTTCAGTGGCATGTTGCCAGAAGAGTGGTTTAAGATGCTGAAGTCCATGATGACCAGTTCTGATAACGGAACTTCGGTCATGGAAAGTCGGTATTACCATGGACAAACCTACCAGTTTACTGCTGCACTCACATACAAAGGCAATGACATAACAATTTCCAAGATCTTAACATCACTCGTGCTGATTGATGTCTCAAATAATGATTTCCACGGTAGCATCCCGTCAAGCATTGGGGAACTTGCGTTGCTTCACGGGCTCAACATGTCTCGTAATATGCTTACAGGGCCAATTCCAACTCAGTTTGGCAACTTGAACAACCTTGAGTCTTTGGACCTCTCCTCAAATAAGCTTTCCAATGAGATCCCAGAGAAGCTAGCATCACTGAACTTTCTTGCAACATTGAATCTGTCCTATAATATGTTGGCTGGAAGAATACCACAATCGTCACACTTCTCGACATTTTCCAATGCCTCTTTTGAGGGAAATATTGGGCTGTGCGGAGCCCCATTGTCTAAACAATGTAGCTATCGATCTGAACCAAACATCATGCCACATGCTTCCAAGAAGGACCCGATAGATGTTCTACTTTTTCTCTTCACTGGGTTGGGATTTGGTGTCTGCTTTGGAATTACAATTCTAGTGATATGGGGAAGCAACAAAAGGAATCAGCAAGCTTGAGAGCGAACCATATTATAGAATGGCAGAATATTTTGTTAGTCACTCTTGATCACTCTAGCAACATTCAGAAAGATCAGTATTAATAGTGATGTATGAATTAAATAAAGGATGAGTATGTTACCGCGGAAGAATAGCACTGTGGACAACGTAATTTAAGTAACAAAGCAGACAATATTATATCCATGAAAAGATATGTTTACGTTTGAGAGCTATCTAGTTCAGTTGTCTTACTGGTTTCTTTCACATACTTTTACAAGGAATCTAGTATTTCCAACTTGTTACAGATGAAAGCATGCAAGTGAACTTAATTTGTTTCCTTGTATGCATAGTTTCTCACCTATCTCTCTCTGGAATTTATTAAAAACATCACAGTGACCATCCTCTCTCCTGTTTCCAAGGCACTAAGTATGGCTGGATGGATGACATGGTCATTTTGAAATAAAGAGAGAACAATAGATAAAACAAGGAAAAATATTTGATAAACCATTGATTCTACATTCATTTCAGTTTAAAAACTAAGCAGCTAATGCTTGTTCACAAAACTATGCTCATAACAGATAGTGACATGGGTGTTAAGTGATCTGTTCCCTGCCCAGCCTAATATGTTTAGTTGTTTATTGTTAGAGGAAAAGATGGTTTAGTGATATCCAAAGATACTAGTTTCAGAAATATATCATCCAACTTCTCAAATACACTTTAGAACCATTCAAAGTTTCCAACATTTAGATAATGACTATTTCCATCAAGTAGAGGGCTTCAGAATTCAGAAAGCTATCTTACACCAATCTACCCCTGTGTGTACCGACTAAACTGTATCGCTCTCCTAAGCAATTCTGCTGCTGCAAGCTGCAGCCTGCCTGCAGGATATTCCCACTGTCAGCCCTGATTCACATGATTTCTGTGGCTAGCCGGCGCCCTCCCTCACCCCTAAGTCCGCTGTGCAGTGTGTCCTGAAGCACCTGATGCCAACAAGGAGAAAAGATTTGCATGTCTGGAGAGAATTCCATAGCAACAGGAGAACTTGCACAAAGACATTAGACATGAACTAGAATCTTATAAGATCAATGCCCAGGAAGAATTTTTTTTTTTTCGGGAATACGCAAAAGGATTGAGCACCTTTGTATTAAGAGGAATAAAATTTACACACACAGCAAAAAAAAAAAAAAAAAAAGAGGAGGGGGGGGGGGGTTGGGGTTGGGAAGAAAAGGAGGGAAAAGAGAAAAACGAGGACTTAAGCCTATTCTCGTGATTACAATGAGACGACCAAACGACCTAGCACGCTAAGAAGGCAGCGTTGGCGACAGGGGATGGGCAAGATGCCAAAGGGCGGCCTCTTGTGCCATGCCTACGACCACCTCAAACCAAGGCCGAGAACAGTTGTTGAACACGCGGTTGTTTTGTTCCTTCCAAATGGACCACACGCCAAGGATCACGACCGTGTCGAATCCATGACGATGCTCCCTCAAAACTTTGAGTTGGCAAGAGCAGTGCCACTCGTGAAAGGAAACATTGCCAGAGGGGAAGCAATGTGGAATCCCGAGGCTCGAGAGGACGGTCCACCACAACTGGAGGAACTCGGGGCACCCAATTAGAATGTGATCAATTATCTCATTCTGTTGGTCACAGAAGACAACAGGTAGGGTGCGGTAAGCCTCGCTTCTCCAAGCAGTCAATCGTCCAGCAACGGCGATGAGCGATCAACCACAGGAGGTAGCGACATCGAGGAGGGGTGAGAGAACGCCAGATAGGTAGATGCTGAAATGGAATCCTTCCTGAGAGGAGGGCGAGTTAGGCCGAGCGGGTGGAATACGACCCCGAGTTTTCCCACCTCCAGATGAAGGAATCAGGCTGGCCCTCAGAGAGAATCATTGACCTCACCATCGACCAAACCTGCAGGTATTGCAAAATTGCTTGAACGCCCAAGGAGCCACGAAGGTCGCGGATCCATCGGTTGTTGGCTAACACATCAGCGACCGAGAGTTTCTGGTGGACACGCCCTGTGATGCGACTGTAGAGTTCAGGTTCCCAAGAGCAAAGACTCGAACCTTGTTTAAATATGCTGAGCCAGCTGAGGTGATAGGGAAATCCAAGCCACACTGCTACAGTAGCTGGAGCAGATATGTTCATTAGGTTCGGCAGAATACCCCTCACACGTTTTAGGCTTGGAGCACATCCAAACAATCCATTTCTGGTTAGGACTGGAACAATGATTCTGGGTGTGCTAAAAATATTTGGTGGAGAAGGGTCAGTCCCTTGCTTTTCCAAACGGGTTATTCTCACTTCATAACATGCAAAATGCGTCAATCTGGAACGCAAACCACATCACGATGTAATTGATGTATTGACATTCTGAGGCAAGAAACCAACGGTGTGTTCATCTAGGAGGTTACCTATGAAGGATTACTGTAGCTCTTTGGCTTTGTTTTTTAGAACTTAGGCACTCGGGCCCGGCTTTTATAGAAAGCCAAAAGCGGCAGGTTATTGGGATACCCATTTACAGTTTAAGGACAACACCCATACTGGGGAACGAAACAGACTAACACAAGGTTTGAGACCCCAAAAGATTACAGACAACAGGAGACAAAACGAAACTAAGCAAAAGCACCTCTAAAAGCAGCTCAAAGAACATCTCTTGGTAGAAAACAAACATCCATAGAAAACTTCAGGGAACAGCCTTCAGTTATCCTACGCCAGATCTTGGCCGTCTCAGGGAAGAAACAACTGACATCAACTTTTCAGACATATTGTCGAACTTTTCAGCTCTTTGGCTTTGCCATTTCGTCGAACAGTTGGCGGGCGAAATAGATCAGTGGCGCAGACTGCATTACATTCACTTGTACGATCGCAGGTTTGGTATTGGCGAACTTCTACTTAATGGATTAATTACAGAGATTTCTAGTTGCATACGAGGAAGCGGGAAAAAAATGTCGATACAGAAAACAAAGGAGAGAAGGAATGCGAATAGGATGATGAACTGATGATTACCTGAATGGATAAGAAAATCGTTGGCGGAACACAGGAGGCCATTTGTTGATTAGCAGGCGGGAAAAGGTGGGCAGGTTCCGGATGACACCCGGCTTCAAATCTCCCGCCGGCAAACCGTCGCCGTCGCCGTCGCCGTCGCCGCCGCGTGTCCGCGACCGCGAGGGCATGGTAGGCTACCGATCTTCGGCCCAGCCCAGCTTGATGTACTACGCATCCCCAGCCCATTTTTTCTTTTAGATCCAACGGCTCACGTTGTCCTTAGTTCCTAGACGGGTTACTCCATCCGTTTACATTTTTTAAAATAGATGGTGTGTTTGACTTTTGATCATTAATGATTCGTTTTATTAAAATATTTATATAAATATTACTATCTATTTTTACGTGAACCTGCTTTATCATTAAAAAAATTTAAAGTATGAATATAGTATATTTATACTATTTTTTAAGATAAATGGTAATATTATTTTAAAAGTATACGGATGTAGTATCATGAGAAAATGTTTGGTTGCTTGGCGCAGTTGTTGAGAATGGGGTTTTTCTTCATTCAAGCACATTGTAAAAATGGATAAAAATGCTTCCAAATTTTAATCAACTACTGTTAGAACACGGTTCATTAATTAGCGTACAAAATAATATAAGCAACTATGGATGAGCGTTCGTACATTGCGTGCGTCTACGTTTGCACTATCTTTTAACAATATTTAAAAGAATTATTTTGTTCTTTTTTTCTGCAAGGTGAATTACTGTTCTTATTTTATACCAAATGTAAAATTCTTACAAACTATAAATCTAGCATAGATTTGGAGTATGAAGCTATCAGGACCTTAGTTTCTGTCTGCGTCCAAACAGAATGCAAACCCATCCACCCCCCTCTTTACACTACTCGAGAAAGGGTTTTTACCCACAGTTCATAACCCCTGCAGTCCCGGTTATACAACCAGGACTAAAGATACCCATCTTTAGTCTCGGATTATTGGACTAAAAATTCATCTTTAGTCTGGGACTAAAGATAAAGATGATAGCGGCAGTCCCGGTTGGTCACTATTTTTTTTCTTTTTTTATTGTTTCTTTGCTCACTACATTTTGCTTTTCCAAATCGAGTTGCTCCCTACATATCCCTAAATCATCCACAAATCAAAGTAGCATCACAGATCATAGATTCACATCACAAATTCTCAAAAAAAAATACAACACAAATCAAATACATCACACATTATATATCTCATATCAGATCCAATGAATCACAAATTCTAAAAAAAAGAAAAAACAAACAAGTCCAGCGCTGCCGCTGCTGCATCCCCTCCGGTGCCGCGGCTACCCACAGTCGTGCGCCGTTGGGCCTGTCCACACTCTGCACAAGGGACCAGGCGTACTGGATGACTACGGTTCCGATGGCCATCGACATCTGTGTTGAGCCTCACGCACCTTACCGCGTGATGCGGCAGTTCGGCTTCCGTTAGTCCTTTCAAGTACCGTTTCCGACGAGCGTCCCAGCTGCCATTCACTGGTAAGAGATTTCACTACGCTTTCATTTGTTGCATTAACATCCACCTCTCCACAATATTTTGCTTCATATGTGAATTCAAACTAATATGATACATTAATTTGCAGGTACTCGCGGAAGGGTCAGCAGTTAGCTGGCGACTGGCCCGCCAAGTTGGGGCCTTTTGTCGAGGACTGGTTGCTCGCAACCGAGGAGGTCGTGGACCATGTGGGAGTGGCACACACCGAGGAGGCGTACCAGGCCTACCTACACTGGTACCAGCCACGCACCCGTACTAGGGTCACCTTCGCTCCCATGGAGCAACAGGCCCACACCGCGAGCACTAGAGACCTCTACGCCAGGCACCGCGACCAAGACTTTGCTCATGCTGTGAGTACTCTTCATCGCACCATCGCCTCCTAACCCTTTCTCTTGGTCAAATGTTACAAATATTTACGGTTATTTACGTACAAATTAATCGTGCAGGTCGTTGAGTGCAACAGGGTCGTCGTTGACGCTTCAACGACGATCCAACATTTAGGCACGGGGATTGCGGTACCCGTAGACGAGCACCTGACGACGTACACGCTCGATGCACTCGGTTCTCCGTGCGCTCACCTGTCGTGCTACCGACGTCGCTCAGGCAAACGCAACACCACAGCAGCCACCTCGACCGACTGGTCCTCGTCCAGCTGCGCACATTCCTAGGCCGGCTCCCCCTCCCTACGGAGGTACGTACTACATGTTAATTAATTGTTCCGATTGCTTCAGGGTTTTGTGCGCCATTCACCACCCCGCCTTCCACAGGTACGCCTCCTTTTGGGCCCCACATAGGTACTTAAAAAAAATAACACTATATCGACAATCAATTGATATGCAATTTATGTGTTAGCTTACAAGGGTCTCGTCGTCCATGTGTAGGCTTTGCTCCATTCGGGACGACATAGGCCGCTCACTTCTCGCAGGCGTCACGGTTAGCGTCCTAGTCAGCTGCGTCGGCCTCGCACTCTGCGCAGTTCTGGCAGGATGCCGGGACTTCGTCACAGGCAGCCAGCATGTCACAGCAGGGTCCACCAAACCTTGGACCCTGCCGGGACATCGCCGGAGCACGGGTGGGCTTCCGCCATGCACTTCGACATCAGCGACTTCGACTTCCAGGATACCACAGCGGACATCATTGGTCCCTCATAGCTGGGAGGTGTGCCCGTGCAGACGCAGGACCAGTCGCCCTCCCCCCTGCTGCTAGAGCCTCGTGCTACCCGTGCTATGCCACCGAATCGCTTCATGTACTCCTAGGATCACGTGCGAGCGCATGCCCAGAGGACCAAGCGGGGTCGTGGCATGGGGCAGAGCCAGTAGAGCAGGCTTCTCTTTGTTTATTTACTTTACATGTAGTACTATTTGGTTGTACAATGAACTCTGGTTGTTGCTATTCAGTTTTCGCATCCTTAAACTTCGCTGTTACTTTTTGCGAAAGCACGATACCTTTCGGCGCATGCACGAGTACTTTCGGTCGCATTGATGCAGCCTCCTTTATTCGAGTGCGATACAACTGCGGAATGCCTTCTCACGCCCTTATTCTTCCAAAACGTCCAATCTTACATGTCACATCTGCATACGCCCAATCTTACTTTCGGCGCCATGCCGCTCTCTAAAAGGCGGAAGGCCTTATTCCGCCCATATACAGGGCGGCAGGATATACATCCGCATACGTCCAATCTAACTTTCGGCGCCAATCAGTGCGACCCACCATGCCCCATGATGTAGACATGTCAAGATTATCATTGTGATTTCCGTGCCTACATAAGCCCCCGTAATGAGCGATGCGGCAAAAACTTTCATAAGTCACATTCAATACTCTCGTCCTCACTAGTTTTATTGTAAATCCCACCACCTTTCGGCAATGGCTAGACGCCGGGGTGTTGAGGATCCGAACTGGCGTAGCGATCCTTGTGCATACCTACTACCACCTTGGTGTCAGCGGCCTCTCTACCTTTGTGGTGACCGATGCCAACTAATGGCTTTGATGAATCCTGGCATTCGAGGAAGACGCTTTTTTAGGTGCCCTAACTATAATCGTGAGGTATTTTATTATCTGCATATGCTTATTCAGTTTGTACGAGCGATTGTTTATTCTTCACCCTCCCACTCTATTCGTCAGACCTGCGCTACGGCTTGTGAATACATCGAGTGGGTCCATACAGAAAATCCCGTTCTCGTCCTAACCACTTGTTTACAAGAAACGACACTGGTATTTCTCATCCGAAAGTACTGAGCAATACTTGCAGAGAAAAGCAGCTTACGAACGATAACGTCGTGAATAATAGTGCGACTGACAGGTGCTAACTACGGCACTCCCTCCATGGGAATCCCGTCCAAAATGCGGAGGCGGTGATCGTTGTCAGGTTCTTCGTTCCATAAAGCCTAAACAAATCTATTCATATAACTTTTACATTTTCAAACTCAACAATTTAAGAGTTATTCATGATTTATATTCCTAAGGTTTAACTTAAACATTATCCTAAATGACTTCCTTTAGGAGTACAGAGGGAATACAACATGAACTCTTACCTAAAATATGAAATTGCGAAACAACCAACTTTAATACAATTTATAAATTATTATTAACAATTTTTACCAATAAATATTTTTTAAAGTGTTATCAATACAATTTTGGCTCGGTTTTTTGCATCTCAGCTGTAAGGGACTGAGATGCAAAAAAAACCCTAGCCAATGCTTTGTTGGCTCTGCGCATTTTGCAGGCAAGGACCTAAATGCAAAATGCGGCGCCGTCTGCCGCCGGCTGCCACGTCAGCTTGCCGCCCAAGTATAGGGTGGCAGGTCTATTTTTGTAAATTTTTTCGTCGATATAATATTTCTGTAAATATTAAAAAAATTTAAAAATGAAAAAAATTCCAAAAATGTTCACCTCTCCGGCCTCCATCCAACTTTGTAAATGAAGTCGTGGCCCGTTGATTTCACTTTCCCAATACAGTACAAGACGTTATACTGTCGTTACCAATTTTGCGGGTTAGGGCCACTGCCGATGCTAATCGTCCATTTCACGCTAGTGCAACTACTAATTCTCATGATTATATATCTCTACTTTAACAGCGGAGTCAGTCAGATCTCATCATCTTCCCCACTATCGTAGTCCCTACCGAATAAAAAAACGCTCCTTTAAAAACTACCCCACCCAAAAAAAACAAGCAGCGTTTCCAAGTGAAAATCAATCCATAGAAAAACCAGATAGAAAAAAAAAACTGAATCCAATAAAACCTTCCGTCCATATTTCCCACAATTCTGTTGCCACGCACACCCATGGTCCAACTAAAAGTTGCTTATTTCTTTTTAAGTAGTTGCCCACTTAGGTAATTGGTTGCTACCCACCACACCTTCTCCGTGTTTGACATGGCAAACTAGCAATCAGTTCAACAGTCTCTTTGAAACATGGAGATTGTCCCGCATGGTCCTTCGGCAGCAGCGCAAGCGCACGAAACTCATAAACGCCTAACATTGTATGGCTACTCCCTTCATCCTACATAGACTTAATTTGTCTATCTTCTTTATTTCTCCAAAATAAAACCACTCCCTCTACGCATAATACCATTTTTTAAGTAGAACTTGCTACGTTCTAGGTAGTGAAATTTTGATGAAATTTGATCAAAATTTAGTCAAAATTCATCAAAAAACTTGGAAGAAGAACCCATTTCGCTGATGCTTGGTCCGTGTCCCAACCCATGGTGAATGCCTTTCAAATCGAAAGAACATACATGTTCCTCTTCATATTTAATTGATAAGAATTTTTACCGTTCTTAGGGAGGTATCACCAGGTACCACCTCCATTTAACCCTTGATTTGAAAGGGGTAGGATTAAAATTCACATGTCTTAGCTGTCACCGTCTTGTACTGTCGCTGTAACTAGTTGATGCTGCCCTTCTGCCATCTTTGCAAGTGAAGCCGGCGTCACCGCGCGTAGAGCTGCCCTCAGTGTAGCTGGATTCAGACACCTTAGCAACCGATTAACTGCCCACTGGGTCAATCCTGGTTGATACTTGAGAGGAAACTACAGCCCGGGAATCTCCATCACCATAGACAAGCTCTCTGTCTTCTTGTGAGCACGCAAACGCAGGAACACCTTGCAAGCCATGTCTAACCCACTGCCACCGCTTGAGAACTACTATGAACGCAGAGCAATTGGGATGTGGAATTTCATCCCTCTAGGGGATATACCCTCGTTGTTTGCATGTCATCTAAATAATTACTAAAAAAAACTTGAAAAAAAATTGATAACATAGATTAATACGAAATATATCAGTCCACAAACATGCAAGACCAAATTCAACTTCTATAAGTTACAACAAAAATAACAAACTAAACTGAAAATAGTTATCGCACATTCACAACTATATTTGTTATTTTTGTTACAACTTGCAGAAGTTGAATTTAAACTTGCATGCTTGTGGAGTGATATATTTTTATATTAATCTATGTTGTCATTTTTTTCATATTTTTTTATGACTATTTAGATGACATGACTTTCCCGAGCAATTGAACATATACACCTATATCGGAAAAAAAATCAAATCCAAATGAACCTAGGAAGAGATCAATTGGGCTGGATTAATTTATTTTAGAGAAAGACAGAGTGAAGGTGCAGGGGATGAGGAGCGGAGGAGACCGCGTGACCGAAGTAGGGAGCGACCGATGGTGTCCGCGCTAGAGCATGATCGGAGGCGATGGTAGCCGACGACACTGGTGCGGTGTGTTGGAGCAAGCCCGAACAACAGAGGAGGCAGTGGTCGGTACTCGGTAGGAGAGGGAAGAGGGAGGCCATAGGCCGCAGCGTACAAGCACTCGAAGGAGGCGGTCCACGATCAGGTCGCTGGATCGAGACAAGCATTGATGCGAAATTACAATGAAATCCTCCCACCTCAGAAACTGATCGTACTTGCTCTCGTTGGGAACACTGTACCAGGTGGGACGTGAAATCAACGGCTAGGATTTGGTATCGTCTTCCCTCAAGGACGGTAAAAAGCCTCTCACATACAAATCAAAAAACATATACTATTCAATTTTAACTCATTGATCTCACATATTAGTTTTTAATTTGAATCAAGTAAATTATAGAAAGTAGTTCAGCGATGTTGGCTCTAGACTGTCGCTGACTATGTTAATCTTAAGATATGTCGGTCCAGTCTTTTAAAAATGCTCATAGAAACAGAGTGTGTGTGCGTATTCGTAGATATGAGTGTGCACGCATTGTGAACAATTATTTTGTACTGTGTTTTTTTTTTAAAAAAATGCGGTGAAGTAATAAATTGCGTGCATATAATGGTTTAGTTGCATATACTTCATGGTCACGCAATCGATCAACCGTACAGATATTCATCCATCCAAGAGTAAGATGTTTCCGTTGTATTCCATGTGGTCATTTCCCAACATACTTCCTCCGTCCAAAAAAAAAAAGACAAACTCTGGATTTCCGTATCCAATTTTTAACCGTCCGTCTTATTTAAAAAAAATTATGAAAAAAATTAAAAAGACAAGTCACGCACAAAGTATTAATCATGTTTTATCATCTAACAACAATAAAAATACTAAATATAAAAAAATTTCATATAAGACAGACAGTCAAACGTTGAACACGGAAACTCAGAGTTTGTCTTTTTTTCAACGGAGGGAGTAAGCTACTTCCCTACAAATAGGAGGCCTTACACGGTCATCCAGCAATAACAAAAGCTAACGCCGGAATTGTGTCGTGTGATTTCGGGAACGTACGACGCCGCGCCGGCCGGTGATCGATGGCGGCGGTGCGCGGGGTTGGGCTAGCGTCGTCGCTCCTCCTCCTCATCATCATCATCGTGTCTGCACCGCACCTCCTCCTCGCATCGCTCCCGCCCCGCGATGCGTCCGCCGCCGCGTCGGGGTCGACGACGACGGCAGCGGCGGCGGCGACGACGCCCGTAGCGGCGTCAAGCTTTCCTTCAGAAGAAGCTGATCATGGCAAGAAGCTCCTGCACGACCACGGCGAAAGTGCAACTAGTAATTCTTACGATGTCGTCCCATTTCAACCGCACTGCTGCAGCAACCACGACTTACCAGGTCAACTGCGGGCGGTCAAGTACAGGGTTCTGTGCGGCAATCATCCTGGGCCATGCCCACACCCAAAAACACACAAGGACATTCGCTTTTAATTCTCGATTTCACAACCAAAGTATGTATCGTGTTCACCTTGTTTCACTAAAAGGGTGTGTAGCTAGCACAAGCTTTTCAGTTTGCAACTGATGAGCATTTGTTGAAATAAAGTCTCACTTTGCACCAGATTAGTTTGATCATGACAGAACTTATATGAAATTTCATCAAAAAATGTTATGAAAACTTTTGCAAATCGATCGGAACTGTGAATAACAATTATTAGATATATGCCGCATGTTGACTTATGAAATATGATGACATATATCTCTATCTCTATGTCTATTATTTAAAAATTTGAAGATGTTTTCGTCGGGATTTTAGTACGTCATCCACGTCTAAGTTGGTTTTAGCTAGTTTTTATAATCTATATCTATATATACCTAATTAATATATACATAAAGCTTCTGTTTTTTTTTGTCTCGGTGCTTTGTTGTTTTTGTTGCAGATTTCCCAATCAGGCTTCGTCCGGTTTTTCTCATCGCCGTTTTTTCATTGGTTTTTTTTATACCATATTTTTTCTGTCCCTCCATTTTTTTGGTCCGTGTGTTTTTTTTCATCACAGTTTTTTTTACGAACCTAGCACTATCGTCAATTTGTCTCACCAAACGTTCTCTTTCAATTAATTGCAAAAATCGATTCCATACTTCTCTTATTATTTTCCTTGCGATTTTCCTTTCAATTGAACTTTAATTTGCCAGATTAAATCTCAGTCATCGATGATGGCCAACCGGTGACCTTCCCTGATCGTTTTTATTCCGAGTTTTATGGATTTATTCCAATTTCGAGAAAAAAATAGCAAAAGGGGATCGAGCAGATAAAAAGCCTCAACCAATTTTAGAATATCGAGAAGGATTTGGCTGGATTTAATAGGGTGGATCGGTCTTTCGTAGGTTGAAGACGACGTGTGTGTGAGCTGAGCCTGTGGCTCCACTTATGGGCCAGGCCAAAGAGAGACATGCAATTTATTGCTCAGCTCTTAATAGTTATTGTATCACAGAAAAAACATTTTTACCCATTGCAATGCACAGCAATTCTATACCCATCCTCCCACTGCCCCCATCCTGATTGCCATCCACCCAGGCTGTCTCGCTCGGCTCCTATAAACCAGCGAAAAAAAAGATCGACAAAAAAAAAAGAAAATTGAGGCGCCTAAGTAGATCGAACATGTTTCACTAAAAAGATCGAAAATGTTTTAGTCTTTTAAAAAGCTGAAACACAACAAAATCAGCTCATGAAACATTTTGGTACAACATATGAAACAACGGTTTCTAAAAAATCGAGCGTTGTTTCAGTCTATATAAAAACAATGTTTCAACAAATAGCGAAAGAATGTTTCAGTTCACTGCAACATTTGATCTACATAAGAAAACATTATGAGTACACTAGATAAAACATTTTGTGTGGAACAAAAAATGAAACAGATTCCCTTAATAGAGGGTTTCCATAATATGTGGGTGATTTGTTGCAAATGAATATTTCAATTCACTGCAACATTTCGTCCATACATAGTAAAATATCATGAGGGTACTAGCTGAAACATTATTGGTGGAAAAAAAATAAAACGGATTCCCTTAATAGGGTGTTTCCGTAATATGTGGGGGATTTGTTGCAACGGGGCGTGAGTGGTGGGGACACGTGGGAGGCGAGGCGGAGGCGCGCGTGGAGGAGGAGGGTGGCCTGATTTTTTTTCCACCGCATCGGGCACCCGATCCCCAGCATTTTCAGAAATTATGCAAGGACTTAAACCATCTTTGGTGGGGACCCAGGAAAATAAGTCATTTTAGACATTGGCATTGTCTACATGCATGGTACTCCCTCTAGTTCCATATTAATTGACGTTTTAGACAAGGTTGAGGTCAAACTTTTATTAGTTTGACCATCAATAACTTTAAAAATATTTAGTTTAAAGGAACTGGAACAAGATATATAGATTTGTCTTTGAAAGTACTATAATAAAAGTAAACATGCATTTATTTATTATATATATTATTATAGAAAAATAAGATCAAATTAAGATGTACCTTGTAAACCGTGTCATTGTTCAAAACGTCAATTAAAATGGAATCGAAGGGAGTACAGTTTTAGCCACTAATTTATATGTACAATATATATACTGACCTGATAGAATTACAGTATTTCATAAGATATTTTCAACACAAATATACAAATCAATACCATTCACGATTCGATTCTTTTTTTACTATCGAAAGTTTGACTAATGCGTGTCCAAATGCTACTAGACGAGACAGATTATAAACGGATAGATATCCCTTCGCTTCTTGTGTATCAGTCTCACATAACTGAAAACAAACCTAACCTCCGACATGTTGGCCTCTATGACATTTGCTTACACTAGTTCCATGCCTCTCCTAGCCATGCTACTCATCCTCCTCATACAGGTTCAGTCCAGGAGCACGCTTGCCGACGGTACGAGCTCGTCGGCATCGGCACAGCCAGCTCCATGCCTTCCAGGCCAGGCTTGGGCGCTGCTCCGCCTGAAGAACTCATTCGATGCAACAGCCGGCGACTACTCCGCCGCATTCCGGTCATGGATCGCTGGCACGGACTGCTGCCGCTGGGAGGGCATCCGATGCGGCGGCGCCCAAGGCCGTGCCGTCACCTCCCTCGACTTGGGATACCGATGGCTACGATCCCCAGGTCTTGATGATGCACTCTTCAGCCTAACCTCCCTCGAGTACCTTGACATCTCTTGGAACGACTTCAGTGCGTCCAAGCTCCCAGCCACTGGGTTTGAGAAGCTCGCCGAGCTCACCCATCTTGACCTCTGCAGCACCAACTTCGCCGGCCGGGTACCCGTTGGCATCGGCCGCCTCAAGAGCCTGGCCTACCTTGACCTGTCCACAACATTCTTTGAAGATGAGCTGGACGATGAGAACAACGTCATCTATTACTACTCAGACACAATTTCACAGCTCTCGGAACCGAGCTTGGAGACCTTGCTCGCAAACCTCACCAACCTGGAGGAGCTTCGTCTGGGCATGGTGAACATGTCGAGAAACGGCGCACGGTGGTGCGACGCCATGGCCAGGTCCTCCCCAAAGCTGCGGGTCATTAGCATGCCGTACTGCTCACTCTCCGGTCCCATTTGCCACTCACTCTCGGCCTTGCGATCACTTTCAGTGATAGAGCTGCACTACAATCATTTGTCTGGTCCAGTTCCTGAGCTCCTGGCTACTCTCTCCAACCTTACTGTTCTTCAGCTTTCAAATAACATGCTTGAAGGGGTGTTTCCTCCCATCATATTCCAGCTTCAGAAATTAACTAGTATTAGCCTCACTAATAATCTTGGGATCTCCGGAAAACTGCCTAATTTCTCTGCTCACAGTTACTTACAAAGTATATCTGTGAGCAACACCAACTTCTCCGGCACAATTCCAGCTTCCATCAGCAACCTCAAATATCTGAAGGAGTTGGCACTTGGAGCTAGTGGTTTCTCTGGAATGCTGCCATCTTCCATTGGTAAGCTGAAATCTTTACGTATACTAGAGGTGTCTGGGTTAGAGCTACAAGGATCCATGCCGTCATGGATTTCAAATCTGACTTTTTTGAATGTTCTCAAGTTCTTCCATTGTGGTTTGTCCGGACCAATACCTGCTTCTGTCGGATCCTTAACGAAATTGAGAGAATTGGCACTGTACAATTGCCACTTTTCAGGAGAGGTATCTGCGCTGATATCAAATTTGACTCGCTTGCAAACCCTCCTGCTCCATTCAAACAACTTTATTGGCACAGTGGAGCTAGCCTCATACTCAAAACTGCAAAATCTTTCTGTCCTCAATCTCTCAAATAATAAACTAGTTGTGGTTGATGGAGAAAATAGTTCTTCAGTAGTGTCCTACCCCAGTATTAGCTTCTTACGTCTAGCATCTTGCAGCATATCTAGCTTCCCTAACATCTTGAGGCATCTCCCTAATATTACTAGTCTTGACCTTTCATATAACCAGATCCAAGGTGCAATACCTCAGTGGACATGGGAGACATGGACGATGAACTTTTTCTTGTTGAACCTATCACATAATAACTTTACGAGTATTGGATCCAATCCTTTACTTCCCCTTTACATTGAATACTTTGATCTCAGTTTCAACAATTTTGATGGAGCAATACCAGTACCACAAAAAGGAAGTATCACACTTGATTACTCAACCAACCGGTTCTCATCTATGCCTCTTAATTTCTCCAGTTACCTTAAGAGTACAGTCGTTCTCAAAGCCTCCGACAATAGCCTCTCTGGAAACATTCCCTCATCGATTTGTGATGCAATTAAGAGTTTACAACTACTTGATCTCTCTAATAACAACTTGACAGGCTCAATGCCATCATGTCTGACGCAAAATGCAAGTGCATTGCAGGTATTAAGTCTAAAACAAAACCATCTTACTGGCGAGTTACCTGATAATATCAAGGAAGGTTGTGCATTAAGTGCATTAGACTTCAGTGGCAATATGATTCAAGGACAGCTACCAAGATCTTTGGTTGCCTGTAGGAATCTGGAGATCCTTGACATCGGCAACAATCAAATTAGTGACCACTTCCCATGTTGGATGAGTAAACTTCCTGAACTTCAAGTCCTGGTCCTCAAGTCTAACAAGTTCCATGGGAAAATAATGGATCCTTTGTATACCAGAGATGGAAACAACTGTCAATTTTCCATGTTGCGGATTGCTGACATAGCCTCAAACAACTTCAGTGGCACATTGCCAGAAGAGTTGTTTAAGATGCTCAAGTCCATGATGACCAGGTCAGATAACGAGACTTTAGTCATGGAACATCAGTATTCCCATGGCCAGACATACCAGTTTACTGCTGCACTCACATACAAAGGCAATGACATAACAATTTCCAAGATCTTGAGATCACTTGTGCTCATTGATGTCTCAAATAATGAATTCGATGGTAGCATCCCTTCAAGCATTGGGGAACTTGCGTTGCTTCATGGACTCAACATGTCTCATAACATGCTTACAGGGCCAATTCCAACTCAGTTTGACAATTTGAACAACCTTGAGTCGTTGGACCTCTCCTCAAATAAGCTTTCTGGTGAGATTCCACAAGAGCTAGCATCGTTGAACTTCCTTGCAACATTGAATTTGTCCTATAATATGTTGGCTGGAAGAATACCACAATCGTCACACTTCTCGACATTTTCCAATGCCTCTTTTGAGGGAAATATTGGGCTCTGCGGACCCCCATTGTCTAAACAATGTAGCGACCGATCTGAACCAAACATCATGCCACATGCTTCCAAGAAGGATCCCATAGATGTTCTACTTTTTCTCTTCACTGGGTTGGGATTTGGTGTCTGCTTTGGAATTACAATTTTAGTGATATGGGGAAGCAACAACAGGAAGCAGCAAGCCTGAGAGGGAACCATGTTATAGAATGGCAGAATATTTTGTCAGTCACTCTTGATCACTCTAGCAACAGTCAGAAAGAGTAGTATGAATAGTGATGTATGAATTAAATAAAGGATGATTATGTTACCATGGAAGGATAATACTATGGACAATGTAATTAAGCAACAAAGCAGGCAATATTGTATCCATGAAAAGATATGTTTACATTTGAGAGCTATCTAATACTGTTGCCTATCAACTTGTCTTTCAGATATTTTTACAAGGAATCTAGTGTTTTTCAACTTGTTGCAGATCAAGGCGTGCAAGTGAACTTAATTTGTTTCCTTGTTTGCATAGTTTTTCACCTATGGATTTATTAAAAAGAGATAATTGCTTATTTGACGCTCTTTTGTGTTGGAAATATAGTCATTAATCGGCATGTTTTAATCCAAAAAATTAAAGCAATAATCATGGCATAAGCAGTGTAGGGTGATCTTAACATAACCAGTAGCATACTATGCGCATCATGAATGTCAGGAACAGGAACATAACAGTAACGCAATAACATGCTAGAGGCATCATGAAGAACAGGAACAAGAACATAGCGCACATAGTATAGCGATAGCGCTAACAACAGTAACAGGAGGAGAAGATTATACCCCGAGAATAGCCCTCCGCTGGATGGTGAGGCAGAATTGCCTCTGTTGTTGTTGTCGTTCACGCACCTCCTGGCGCACCAGCTCCGGATCCAGCTCCTGTCGGCGGCGCACCACCTCCGCCAGCAGCGGCGGCGGCAACTCCAGACATGGCGATGAGCAGTCGTGCGGGAGGCACTCCACAAAAACCTGATCACCCGCCTACCCGGTGCAGAACTCAGGCGAAGGTGTGGTTTCGGAGGCACTGCTCCTTCCAATCTCTCGTGCGCGCAAGAGATCAGAAGCGAGGAAGCGAGAGCAACTCAGGCGTGGAGAAGGAGAAACTAACACCGGGAAAGAAGCGATTAAACCGGATCGGACTCGCGGCCTCCTTATCTATCAGGAGGAGAAAGAACGTGGACGCGCTGTTGCGGAGGGAATCGTGGGAACGTGGGTTAGTGGCTGCAAAAGGATAGTGACGTGACGTGACGCACGCACGCCCGCCACGCCCACGCCCACGGCCCGGCCCGGCGCGCGCGCGCGCGCGTGTGGCATTCCGGCCCCCACCTCAACTGGTCAACAGGGAGCCTCCAATAACTCCCTATTTAGGTTGAGATATTTCTCGCTTAAATCCTAAGGTGGTATTATTATCCTCAACACTTATTATGGGCCTTTGAGATTTAATATTATAAGTTGGGCCTAGCCCAATTATTCTAACAATCCCCACCAAATTTCAAGGCTCATAAGAAATGTTCTCAATGTTGTGCCTGTTTGAGATACCAGGGTTTTGGTGGAGACTGTTAAGTTGAACTTCCACCTAGGAAATGAGCTACATCAGACCACAACTGAACAATGGACTATGCCTTGAATTGTAAGTTTGTGTGATCAGGTTTTACTCAGAACCTTGACTGGTACTGGGCTGCCGTTCGCATCCCCTCTGTTTGGAGCATATAAGTCAAACTCTAGGCCTTTCATGAGTATCTAGAGATCGCCCAAACCTCATAGAATGTGACTAGCAGTCGAACTCATATAGGTGTGTTCCTTCTGAGATGTTCTGCAGGTCAACATCTCTGCTTGGAAAAGCCACTCGGATCACATTAAGACATAAGCCATCCTACCATGCAGGAAAGAAGAGAAGCACATCATGAAAATGAGCCCTTTTCAAGGGTCTCTTCTCTCAGTCACACAATAGTTTGTTTCACCATCCAAATTCACGGGATCTCCGATCACAATGGACAGGTTTCCACTATTATGCAACCTTAGGTGGGTATAAGCCCATTTCCCTCGATGCACTGTCTATCACATTACGTGGTAGCCCCTTGGTAAACTGATCTGCCAGATTTCTAGCCGTTTGGACATAGTCCAATGCTATCACTCCAGAGTTTTTCTGCTTTCTGACATATTTCAGTCTTCTCTTGACGTGTCTAGATGACTTCATGTTGTCCTTTGAACTGTTCACTTTAATAATCACTGTTTGATTATCACAGTTCATTAGGATAGCTGGCACTGGTTTTTCAACCACCGGCAAATCCATCAGGAGTTCACGAAGCCACTTGGCCTCAACTGTCGCAGTATCTAGTGCTGTAAGCTCTGCTTCCATCGTTGACTTCGTTAAGATGGTCTGCTTGCAAGACTTCTAGGAAATAGCGCCACCTCCAAGTGTGAACACATATCCACTTGTGGCTTTTATCTCATTAGCATCAGATATCCAGTTTGAGTCACTATACCCTTCTAGTACTTTTGGATACCCGGTATAGTGAATTCCATAGCTCATAGTGCCCTTTAGATAGCGCATTACTCTTTCCAGAGCCTGCCAATGATAATCTCCCGGATTTGAGACAAACCGGCTCAACTTGCTTACAACAAATGAGATGTCAGGTCTCGTTGCGCTAGCCAAGTGCATCAATGAACCAATGATTTGAGAGTATCTCAGTTGATCCCTTGCTATTCTTCTGTTTTTCCTTAATAGCACGCTGGGATCATAAGGAGTAGGAGCTGGCTTGCAGTCACTATAGCCAAAGAGACTCAAAACCTTGTCCACATAGTGGGATTGCATAAGTGTAATCCCACCCTCATCTCCTCTTTGTAGTTTGATGTTAAGAATAACATCAGCCTCTCCCAAATCCTTCATTTCAAAACTCTTGGACAGATAGTCTTTGACCTCCTCAATCACATTAAGGCTAGTCCCAAAGATCAGTATGTCATCGACATATAAGCACAAGATCACCCCTTCTCCCCCACCATAGCGATAGTATACACATTTGTCAGCTTCGTTCACAACAAAGCCTGCAGATGTAAGCGTGGTGTCAAACTTCTCATGCCATTGCTTAGGTGCTTGCTTGAGGCCATACAAGGATTTCAATAGTTTACACACCATTCCCTCCTAACCTTCTAGTACATACCCGTCTGGTTGATCCATATAGATCTCCTCCTCCAGCTCTCCGTTTAGGAAAACTGTCTTAACGTCCATCTGATGGACGAGAAGACCATGAGAGGCTGCCAGAGCAAGTAGTACTCGAATCGTGGTCAAGCGAGCAACTAGTGAGTATGTGTCGAAGAAGTCCTCGCCTTCCTTTTGGGTATAACCCTTGGCCACAAGCCTTGCCTTGTACTTTTCGATTGTACCATCAGGCCTAAGCTTTTTCTTGAAAACCCATTTGCATCCTACGGGCTTGCACCCATATGGACGCTCAACGACTTCCCAAGTACCATTAGACATAATCGAGTCCATTTCACTGCGTACTGCTTCCTTCCAGCAGTCAGCGTCAGGAGATGAATATGCCTCTTCTATGGTTCTTGGGGTGTCATCCACGAGGTATACAATGTAGTCATCTCCAAAGGATTTTGCAACCCTTTGTCTCTTACTCTTGCGAGTATCTACAATGTTGTCCTCATCAGGATTTTCCTCAGGCGTTTGATCATTGTGTTCTGTCGGTGCAAAGTGCTCATGGGGCATGACAGTTTCTTTACTAGAAGTGCTAGGTGAATGTTTCATAGGAAATTCATTCTCAAAGAATGTAGCATCTCTGGACTCAAGAATTGTACCAGCATTCATGTCGGGTACTCCAGAGTTTACTATTAAGAATCTATAACCCACACTGTGGATAGCATAACCAAGAAACACACAATCAACAGTATTTGGTCCAAGTTTCCGCTTTTTGGCTATAGGTACATTTATCTTGGCCAAACAGCCCCATGTTCGTAGGTATGAGAGATTTAATTTCTTCCTTTCCCATTCCTCGAATGGTGTTACTTCCTTATGCTTCATTGGAATTTTATTCAGGACATGACTCGCAGTCAAAACTGCCTCACCCCACCATTCCTTGGAAAGCCCCGCAGTGTCTAACATGGCATTCACCATCTCAGTTAGAGTACGGTTCTTTCTTTCGGCCACCCCATTTGATTGGGGTGAATAGGGAGGCGTCATCTCATGAATAATTCCAAACTCTTCGCAAAAGGATGCAAACTCATTGGAAAAATACTCCCCACCTCTATCAGACCTCAACCGTTTGATTTTCCTTTCAAGTTGGTTTTCTACCTCAGCTTTATACATTTTAAAGTAATGCAATGCCTCATCCTTTGTTTTCAATAGATACACATAGCAAAATCTAGTGCAATCATCTAGCAGTGTCATGAAATATTTCTTTCCCCCTTTAGTCAACACGCCGTTCATTTCGCACAAATCGGAATGAACAAGTTCTAGAGGTGCCAAATTCCTCGCCTCAGATGCCTTGTGAGGCTTACGAGGTTGTTTCGATTGAACACAAGTATGGCACTTGGAACCTTTGACCAAAGTGAATTTTGGAATTAAACTCATGTTAGCTAAGCGCGTCATACAACCGAAATTCACATGACAGAGTCGCGAATGCCATACATTAGACTCATCATTCTCGCTAATATGGTTCACAGCATTATGATTATTACACATGTCATTCAAAGAAAGGCGGAACAAGTCTCCGCTGTCATAACCTTTTCCAACAAAAGTCCCATATTTAGATACGACACATTTATTGGACTCAAACACAAGTCTAAAACCTTCTCTATACAAGATTCTTCTTTATTGAAGGGACATGCTGCACGTTCTTCAGCTGCACGGTCTTTCCCGAAGTAAACTTCAGATCAACCGTACCAACACCATGAACAGCCGCAAGCGACCCGTTTCCCATCAACAAGGAGGAACCTCTCCCGACCTGATAAGAAGAAAACAGAGAAATGTCAGCACATACATGAATATTAGCACCAGTGTCCACCCACCAATCAGGTGAATGAAAAACAGAGAGAACTGTAGGTAATATTTTACCGTACCCCGATGTTCCTCCGCCCTCGCTAATTACCATGTTGGCAGACTTCCTGTCTTTGCGCTCAGGACAGTCCTTGGCCCAATGCCCAGACTTGCCACACACAAAGCAGTCTCCCTTTGCCTTTCCCTTGCCTTTCTTCTTAAAATTGGTTGCAGCCTTGGGTTTGACATCAGGCTTGACTTTCTTGTTGTTGTGGGATGCATGAGAGTTCTTCTTCTGTACCATATTGGCACTAGAACCTCCCTCAACCTTTTTGCCCCGGACGTCCTTTGCCCTCACCTTCTCCTCAACACCCAAAGAGC